AGCAGAACAGGCAGATCGACGAAGTACACTGCCGAGGGGAGCAGCGGGCGGGTCAGGAGAGGTCTGCCACGCCATATGGTCACCTCCGGGGCAGGCGGGATTTGAACTCATTCGGAAGCGGCTTTAGATTCTCAGTGCTGTGCTTTAACCCGCTGCGCCATCAGGGAGGGCCCTTGTTGCCTTTTTAATTATTTCTTCTACTAATCTGGATATTGCTTGTTTCAGGTTGCTTTAGGTTTAAGTTTGACTGTTTATTTGGGATTTTTCTTCTTAATGTGTGTGGCCTGAATGGCAATTATTTTCCCTCTTAATACCACTTTTTGCTGTATCCATATAGATTCTGGTGGCTGATATCATTTATGTTCATCTCAAGGATTTTTTTATTCCTTTTATCCAGTTGTTAATAAGTAATATGTTGCTTAATCTTCATGCATTCATGGAGTTTTCTTCTTTATAGTTGATTTCTAATTTTATGGTTTATGGTCAGAGAAAGTATTTCAGTGTAATTTTGATCGTTGTAGTTTTATTGACAGTTGATTTGTGTACCAAGATATGGTCTGTTCTTAAATATTCCATATGCATTTGAGAAAAGTGTGTAAATAGTGGTTTTAGGGTAGTGTTCTCTTCCAAATACATCTCTACCAAATAGGCCTGTTAGTCTAGTTCCTTATTTAAAACTATTGTTTCCTTTTAAAGCTGTGCTTTGTCTTGTTGATCTGTCCACATTTTTAGTTGGGTTATTAAAGTCTCCTAGTATTAGATGTTATAACCAATTTCGCTCTTAAATTAGTATTGTCTAAAGTATCTAGGTATTCTATCATTTGGCACATATATATTTAAAAGTGTCACTAATTCCTAATCTATCACAACCTTAACCATAATACAATGTCCCTTCTCTATAGTATTATTTTTCTTAATTAGAAGTCTGTTTTATTAGATACAAATAAGTATAGCTATTTCTGATTTCCTTTTGTTTTTGTGGGGGTTGCCATTTTCTGTATATAAGTTACAAGCTTTAACCCTATATTTGTCTTTATTGGTAAGGTGAGTTTCTGGTAAACAGTAAAATTTTGGACTTCATTTAGAAATTGATTCAGGTAGTCTCCATCTTTTGATTGGTGAATTCGGGTAATTTATATTTAAGGTGATTGTGAGACATAAGTGCTTACTGCT